TTGGATGCATAGTTTGTGTAGATTTTCTCCTGCTCTGGATTGTCTGTTTATTCTGATTATTTCTTTTGCTGTGCAGAAGCTTTTCAGTTTAATTAAGTCCTATCTATTTATCTTTGTTTTGCTGCATTTGCTTTTGGATTCTTGATTGTGAAGTCTTTGCCTAAGCCAATGTCTAGAAGGGTTTTCCCAATGTTGTCATCTAGATTTTTATGGTTTCAGGTCTGAGGTTTAAGTCTGTGATCCATCTTGAGTTGATTTCTGCATAAGGTGAGAGATGAGGATTCAGTTTGGTACTTTGTACATGTGGCTTGCCAATTATCCCAGCACCTTTGGTTGAATAAGGTGTCCTTTCCCCACTTTATGTTTTTGATTGCTTTGTCAAAGATCATTTGATTGTAAGTATTTGGCTTTATTTCTGGGTTCTCTATTCCATTGCTCTATATGCCTATTTTTATGCCAGTACCATGCTCTTTTGGTGACTGTAGCCTTATAGTATAGTTTGAAGTTGAGTAAAGTGATGCCTCCAGATTTGTTCTTTTTGCTTAGTCTTGCTGTGGCTATGCAGGCTCTTTTTTGGTTCCATGTGAATTTTAGGATTTTTTTTTCTAGTTTTGTGAAGAATGAGGGTGATATTTTGATGGGAATTATATTGAATTAGTATATTGCTTTTGGCAGTATGGTGGTTTTCACCCTATTGATTCTGTCATCCATGGTTAACAGCAGGGGGCATGGGTGGGACCCATGGGAGACAGACTGGCCTCTTCTCCTTTGTGGTTGACTGCAGCTTGTTTGAGGTGTGGATAAGGCACTTAGGATCTCTGCTTCTTTGTTAGTCGAAGAGTAGCAGGGGTAATACTATTGCACAGGCAGTGGCAGAGGGGCTTTGTGTTGACCCTGGGGGTTCCATCTCCAGGTGGAGCTGCTATTACTGGGAATGTTCAGCCTGTGGGGTAAGTCAGCTGTACTGCTGGTGTGAGGTTAGGGCTCTGCTTGTAGGGGATCAGCAGGTTTAGGGCTCACTGGGAGGAGAGACTAGTCTCCTCTCCATATAAAGACTATGGCATGCTGTAAGTTCAGGTGTAGCCTTGAGGCTCTTTGTTTCTTTTCAAGATGAAGGACAGGAGAAATAGAAGTGCTGCTGTGACAGGGGCAGAAAGGCTGCCAGTTGCCTCTGGGAGCCTCTCCCTGGGGAAACTCTGGGCCACTGCCAGTAGGTGAGCTCAGCTGTGGGTGGGACAACTGATCTGCAGTCATGAGCTGAGGGCCATGCCTGGTGGTATGGGGGTTCCCAGGGGAGGGAGCTGGACTCCTCTCTGTATGGTGGCTGTGGCATGCTGAAGGTGCCACTGTAGTGACACAGCTCTTTGTTCCTTCCCCAGCCCAGTGGTTGTTACGATGGTACCACTGCAATTGCAGTGGTGGAAGAGTTGTGAGTTGATGCTGGTATTTCCTCCTTGTAGAAATGCTGGGCTACTTCTGATTAAAGTGGTCAGGTAGGGGCAGGGTGGTTGTACAGGTGTCCCAGGCCATGCAGCTCTGCTCAGTGAGGATAAGTGAGGACTGATAACAGCAGGGAGAAAAATGCCACCACTTTACCATGAAGTAGGTGAAATGTGCTGGAGGTTCAGACCAACCCCAGGTCCCTGTGGACTCTCCAGAGTTTGGAGACAGCAAGGCCAAGGACTGCGAGATTTATTTTGTAATTAGATGATCTCTTTAATGCTGAGAGTGGGGTGTTGAAGTCTTTCACTGTCAATATCTGAACTGCAGTCCCTGACCCAGAGACAGATGAACAAATTCATTCAGACACAAAATAGAGTGAAAGAGCAGGCTAGGGGTATCCATGGTCACTCACAGTACCTCCTGAGAGAGATAGCAGCCATGGCCCTGACCAGCTGGCACTCAGGGTATTTATTCAGCATAGACTTAATAACAGAGGTTCTGATTCAGCACACGTACGGATAAAAATTAAAGGCCAGGTGCCGAGGCCTAAAGCAAACATCATTTGTGGATGATAAATCTGGTTGCCCTAGCTCTGAGAAAGCCATGTGGCCCATGAAAGATTAGTGGTTAGTTTTCGAACCACATGAGTAAGCAAGTAATTCAGATAAACTCTCTCACATTCCCTAGTTATTTGCCCTTCTTTGTCAACTAAAGGTAAAAGGGATTCGGCTACCTTCAGCCAAAACTTCTGCTGAAACTTTGCAAACCTCTTGACCTTCCAAGATTTGTGACCATATTCTGTAATTTTACAGTCTTTCCAACCATTTGACTGATATCCCACGTTTCCCGTTTTTGCTTTTTGCATCAGATGTTGCTGATTGAAGATTGCAGATGTGCACAGCAGTAGTTTTGTCAGGTGAAGCCGTTTTTGCTCTTAGTCTGGCTTTGCATACTAAAATTAGGAAATAACATAAGACAATTATGAGTATAATTAGCAACTTTCTTTTCTAGTCAAAGAGTGACCTATAGTACTACATGGCATCTTGGTTCACTGTATGCCATCAGTGATGAATCTCACTGGAGGTATGTTAATTCCTTTTAGCCAAGCAGTTGCATTGTTGGAAACTGGGAAGAAGGTGTTTGTCTAAGTAACAGGACAGGAAAAAAAGGCAGATTTAGGAGAGTAAATGGTGTCTGTGTCTGAAGCAGGATTCATTTAGCCTTCTGCATTGCCTTCTTCAGCATCTCCAAGGTGATGTCTGGAGCCTGTTTTGTCCGTGGAAGCTGCATCGTCCGGGATGCAGGTTTTGTAGAGTCTTTCCTAGGCCAGCTTGAGTTTTTTCTTCTTTCCATCCTTTGATGGGGACATAGTCTCCAAGCTGGTGCTGGTGTACTGGAAGTTCTAGGGGTGGTGTCAGTGCTAAGAAAACTTTTATAATCTTTGTTAAAGAGGAAGTTAGTTTGGTTTTGTGTTTTTGTTTCGTTTTGTTTTTTGAGATGGGGTCTTGCTCTGTTTCCTTGGCTGGAGTGCACAGGCATGATCTGAGCTCACTGAGACCTCTGCCTCCCAGGTTCAAGTGGTCCTCCTGCCTCAGCCTCTCAAGTAGCTGAAAATGCAAGTGTGCACCACCATGCCTGGCTAATTTTGTATTTGTGAAGATCCAGACTCCCAAAGTGCTGGATTACAGGCATGAGCTACTGCGCCTGGCCTATTTTCCATTCTCTACTGTTAAAAACAATGCTTCATTGAGTAGACTTGTGCATTAATTATTTTATATTTTTGTCAATGTATCTTTACGATAGAAGTAGGACTGCTAGACCAAAAGTCAGTAATGTGTTAAATTTTTTTAGATATTGACAAAAGGTTGTACCATGTTAGATTCTCACCAACAGTGCTTAAGAGTGCTTCTCTCTCTACAGCTTCAACAGGTTGTATTATCAAATACTGAGGTCAGATATTTGATATTTTACAGGTGAGAACTGATATTTAAGCATAATTTTACTTTGCATGTATCTTAATCCAAGAGACTTGAACATTTTTTCATCTATTTAAAGATTGTTTAACAGATGCTGGTGAGGCTGCAAGGAATGGGGAACACTTCTACACTGCTGGTGGGAATGTAACTTAGTCCAGCCACTGTTGAGAGCAGCATGGAGATTTCTCAAAGAACTGAGAGTTGAACTACCACTCGAGCCAGCGATCCATTACTGCATATATACCCAAAGCAAACTTTTTTTGTTTTTGTTTTTGTTTTTTTTAACCAAAAAGACACATGCACTCATATGATCGTCACAGTGCTATTCACAATTGCAAATACACGGAATCCACCTGGGGGCCCATCAACTTTGGACTGGATTAAAAAAAATATGTGGTACATATCCACCACTAAATAAATGCAGCTAATAAGAAGAAAATCATAACCTTTGCAGAAGCATGCATGCAGCTGGAGGCCATTATGCTAAGTGAATTCACACTGAAACAGAAAACCAAATACTGCATGTTCTCACCTAAAAGGGGGAGCTAAATACCAAGTACACATGGACATAAAAATGAAAACACTAGACCCCATAGACTACCAGAGGGAGGATGGAGGAAGAGGAGAAAAAGCTGAAAAACTACCTTTTGGATATTATGCTTGCTACCTGGGAGGTGGAATCATTTGTACTCTAAACCTTAGTATCATGCAATATACCTTTGTCTCAAAGCTGCACATGAACTCTCTGAACCTATAATAAAATTTGCAAAAAAGAAAAAAACCCAAACATGGTTACTGTAGGCCAGAAGGTGTGATATAACTGAATGGTTTATCAATTAGGAACAGATGTAAAAGTAACAATCTCTTTGTTTGTTTCTAAAACCAAGACTCAGATAAATGTTTTGCAAATATTTTATATAGTTTGTTCTAATTGTATTTCCCCTTTCACTACTGTTAATTTAAATAGAGATTTAAAAAGCTACCAGATGGGAAGTGTCGAATCACCATTAATTTCCTTCTCTCTCTCTCTCTCTCTCTCTCTCTCTCTCTCTCTCTCTCTTTCTCTCTAAATAAATATAAATATATATAAATATATATATATTTAGAGAGAGAGAGAGAGATGTTATATATATTACAGTAACATACTTTGTTATATATAAGGTATATATATTAGGTGTTATATATATTACAGTAACATACTGAACTGCATAGATTCAAAACTTTTCTGCCTGCCTGTTTCCCAGGGGAGGGGTGCACATGACTTCTGGTCAAATTTCAAGAGAAATTTTGAATATATTGGTTCCTCTTGTGCGTTGTACACATTAATGTACTGAATAGTTAAATGAATTATGAATGAGTGAGTAAATTTTACAAATAAAAAATAAAAGATTTTTCCTACAACTGTAGAAAATAGACTGTTCGTAGCAGCACTGTTTGCAATAGCAAAGACCTGGAATCAACCCAAATTCCCATCTACGATAGACTGGACAAGGAAATGTGGCACATATACACCATGGAATGCTATGCAGCCATAAAAAATGATGAGTTTGTGTCCTTGGTAGGGACATGGATGAATCTGGAAACCATGCATAATTTGTATTATCACCTATTTATAAATGTCAAAACAAAAGCTTAAGAAAGCTAAGAAATGTGTCCAAAATCATGATTAATAAGAGTCAGTAGAGTTGAACCCAGCTTTTTTTTGTTGTTACTTTAAAGCCTGTGTTTTTAAAGGTTAACTATGAAAAAATGACATAGATGGATACTAGTAAGACACTTTATGCCAACATGATGAGAGACTGGATCCCTCTAAATTCGTTCTGCTGCTTATGAGCAGTTTTCATATGTCACACATGTCAAGTGCCTAAAAGGCACATTTTACATTGGCAAATTTACTCTTCCTATTACGCCTGATAATGCCCTCATGAATTGGGGTTGTTACAGTGGTGGGAGGTGAAGTATAAACTCTTATAATGAGAGGCATTTTTTTTCAAACATCTTAAAAGTTGACATATATCTCCATATCACTAAGCATATTTTTAAAAATTAAGCATGTGGCAGTTCTTTTTTTATGTTTTTCACAAATGGGCCAAGTAAAAATTTTAAAATGTTTATAAGCTAGGCTATTTTCTCTCCTTTGTTCTACTAAACTTAGGATCATACAGGAAGGAATGGGCGTATACAAATAGTAATATATTTATGCCTGTCTTTGTTCTAAGAATTAGTAAAAGAATATTTTGAAAGCATAATAACTTTATATCTGCATTCTAAAATGTAACACTCAAGTTGTTGAAAGATAAATTGAGGCAATGTATGTGAAAGTTCCTGGGCTATTATTAAATTATTACGTATTAATTTAATAGGGAATAGAAGACCGTTTTCATGAGCTTTACTAACTTACCAACTTCACTACATTTTATGTCATCCGAGATGAATCTCACAGTTATATAAGATTTAAGACTTTACACTGGGATGTACATCCCATTTTCTCAGCCGTCTTATGGCAGTCTTCATGTCTTTGTTCCTCAGTGTGTATATAATTGGGTTCAAGAGAGGGGTGATCACAGAATAAAATACAGCAAGGAATTTATCTAATGATTTGATGGGGAATGGCCAGGCATAAATAAGAATACATGGTCCAAAGAACAAAAGAACTACTGTGATGTGAGCAGTCAAAGTGGACAGAGCCTTGGATGAGCTATCTGAAGGGCAGCGCTGGATGGTCATTAGGATGATAGTGTATGAGATGATTAGAAGAACAAAAGAACATATAGTGAGCACACCACTGTTAGCAATGAGCATAATATCTAGCCTGTAGGTATCTGTACAGGCAAGTTCGATTACCCTAGGAAGGTCACAATAAAAGCTATCCACCTCATTGGGACCACAGAAGGGTAAGTGCACTGCAAAGGCCAACTGGCTCACCGAATGGAGAAAGCCAATTCCCCATGCAACAGCCACAATACCGACACATGTGTTGCCACACATAATTGTGGTATAGTGCAGAGGTTTGCATATTGCTACATATCTGTCAAAGGCCATGGCTATGAGGATCACCAACTCACTCCCACCAAAGAAGTGAAGGAAAAATATCTGAACAAGGCAGCCCTTGAAAGAGATGACTTTGCACTCACTGAAAAAGTCAGTAATCATCTTGGGGGCTGTGACAGAAGACAAAGACAGATCAATGAATGAAAGATTGGCTAGCAGGAAGTACATGGGAGAGTGAAGGTGGAAGTCAGATACCACTGTTATGACAATAAGAAGGTTTCCAAACACGATTCCCCCATAGAATACAAAAAACAACACAAATAGGAAAATCTGGAGTTCCTGAGAATCAGAGAGACCCAGAAAAATGAATTCAGTCACCATGGAGTTATTCGTTTCACTTGTTGATTCATTCCAAGAAACAGACTCTTCAGTTACCTTGAAGAAGAGAATGAGAAGGAAGTCGGAATTATATATTCAGATTTAAAGCCTCATTTTGTATCATTCTGTTCACTCTTACACTGACTTTCTAGAATTGATTACTTATAGGCTTTCAGAATTCAACAACCAAAGCTCATAATTTTATCTCACACTACTTCCCTGGCCATACCTTATAATTCATTTGTGTCAGTCTTCTCAGTGTCTCCATTAATGTTAGGTTTATTCCTAATATCAAATACTATTATTTATGTTTCTCTCTCTGCCAGATTAAGCCTGTGCTGTAACTCTGTTTATCTCCTTTTTGTTTGAACTTTCAAATGCTTATATTCTGTAGCACACATCTTAGGTTATTTGGTGATATTAAAGTTCTTAACAGAAAAAAAAATAGGCCAAAATAACATAAAAGATAAAAAAAGAAAAAGTAATACCATAAATATAATAATAAGAGAGGATAAAAGAACAGGGAATTCAAAAGTGAAATCAGAAAACATGAGGAAAATGCAGTAAAGTTTAAATGAGAGAAAGTGTAAAGGACTTCCATAGGAGATAAAATTGGTAAGAGGTTTTGGAATGCTTTCTAAAGAATTTGTTTTATTATAGAGACAAGAAAAATCTATTAAAAATTTTTGATGATTGTTTAATAAACTAACTCTGGACTAAATGTGAATTGGAATGGAGAGAGCTTTTGAAATGAAGCCAAATGATTATTTCAAGCCTAACAATAGATAATAATTGCCGGTTGTGGTAGTGTGAGCAGGAAAGGGGTGAATGAAGACCTGTAAAATCCCATCAAGCATCATGTTAGGGTGATAAAGATGTGAGCTTGTGTGCTAGGAGGCCTGTGCTCAAATCCTGGCTTATCTACTATGTATCTGAATGACCTTAGACAAGTTATGTAAGTGATTTGAGTCTTTTGACCACATCTGGAAAAGACAGGTGATAATAGCGTAACTTTATAGAAGTTCTGTGAGGATTGGATATAACCAGGTATATAAATTTTCTATTAAATAGTAATAGTTAATACATAGCGGCCATTATTAAGGTACTGAGAACAAAAATATTTTTCAGCAAGATGTGAAAAATAAAAATATGTTATTCCAGTGTCTTTATTCTAAGTAACTGGGGACATTGTGATAGATTTAACTCTGATAATAATTAGAACAAGCACTAGTATAACAGTATTTTGCATAGAGATCCCTTTTAGGAGCTGAAATAAATTCAGAAAAACTAAAAGGTAATGATAACTCTAGAGATGAGAAGGTATTTTGGGGGCATCTTTGTAAGTTGCTATCTGCTAGGTGAGAGACAGAACAGTGACTTCTGGACATGAGTCGAGAGAGCCTTTCAATTGTGTAGGGAGGAGAGAAAAGTCCTGTTTCAAGAAGTTTTGCAATGAAGAGAAGTAGCAAATAAAAGGTATCCTAAAGGTGAGGCATAGTCATATTAACAATTTTGGATTAGGTGTAAGAGTTAATGGGCAAGTAAGATGTAAAGGAGAGAAGTGGAAATTGATGGCTAACATTCCAGGGGAGACAGGAAGGTATAGAGTTTACACTTGCCAGATTTTTTGGAGGAATACTGTTATTTGTTTTTTGCTATTTTTTAATCACAGTAATTCATTGTGCTTAGAAAGTCCACTTTTCTCTTTATTGCTCTGAATCCCATTTCTTAGTCCTGCACACTCAAGCAACACATTACTGTTTTTAAAGTCCTGTAAGAATTAGGTGATTCTAAATATTTTTTCTTTCTTTCTTTCTTTCTTTGTTTTTTCTTTATTCTTTTTTCTTTATTCTTAAAGAGAAGTCTAAGAGTGGAAGAAACCATGAACATTCACTTCAGTTCTGCTTAGATAAATATACTAATCATTAACAGTACAAAGAATAGGATTTTTATTGTGAGATAATTTCTAACATGACTGGTTGGAATGTTTCTTTTGAATCAAAGTGAGCAACTTAGAATAGACCTTAGATATGCATTGATAAAAAAATTATTTCATTTCATTGATAGACAAGGACTAACTTGAATTTATATCTCCACATGAAATATGCCAAGGATGGTGGTTGGCCCAAGGGTTCTCATCTATAGCAAAAGACATTCTATCATGGTTGTTAGTAAGAATTCAGGAATTTCCTATTCTTTAGCAAAAGAAATTTCTTGCTCATGTAATTAAGATATCTCTCTCCTGAATTTATGCTGCTGAGGGCATCCTTCACTACCAGAATTCTTTCAAAAGAATTCTGACTCGTTTCTAACTTTTAAAAAATTATTCAAAAATTTTTAGAATTGTATTTATTCTGAGTTGAACATTAGGTTTAGGCTCATTGAAGGAGTTCTTCAAAATCTTATACACTCATTGTAGCAACCATGAGGAGCCAGCCACTGTTGAAAGGTGAAATCCTTCATGACTTAGATTATTCCTGGAATGCAACCATTATATTTTGGTTTATTTTTTTTTTAATCATTTACCTCTGTTTAAAGAAAAACCCCTTGTGTTCTTACAATAAGTCTCACTGAGGTGGAAGTAGACATTTGGGTCCTAGCACAAACTTACAGAGTGATCATGGGAATATCATTTTAAAATCTCTGGGCCTTAGCTTTCATGTTTTTAAAATGAGTTTATTCTATCAAAAGCTCTAAAAATCCTCACAGCTCCAACATTATGATTTAAGTCTTTATGTGAAAGAAATGCCCCAAAGCAGGTTTCATTGATAATATAAAAAGGAGGGAAGGGAGTGGGCAAGAAAACGCTGGATATGGGAGAGATAGTCAAAAGAACCAATAAATGGCAAGATAAGGACGCATTAACCCAGAAGAGTCAGGAGGAGGACTCGATAATTGTTGCCAGCTTAATACTTATAACAAGGGTTATTCTTGCTAACATTGTTTATATTAATTTCTCTAAGTATTTAAGTCAACCCTACAGAATCCTTTCATTTTCCCAGAAGGTAAACACAAAATGGAATTATGCAGAATGGATTCCTACTAATAGAACCATCTCATTGTCAATAAAGTGTTACAATTTGGTTCATTCTTGTAAGATAGATTTTATCTTTGTTTCCACCTACCTTCTTCATAACTGCAAGAGACAACAGCAATTTTCAGAGAATGAGGAGTACAGATTTTCTTCTATTTGCACTCCCTTGAAGCATAAAATTTTTAAGAGAATAATATGTATGTGAATTGTTCTTTTTAGTAAACCACTTGGCTGATTAAGAACCCTTAATGAATGGACCAGATGTACCTGAAGAGATCTGGGAATAGCTAGTCTGAGCTTTGAGTACTGAGCCTAACTTTTATAGTTTCACAAGCATTCCCTTGGCCATTGGAGGAAACAAACAGAATTTTCTTGAGTTAGAGAACATTGCCACAGTTTTTTGGCCTACTTGGATATTTTTGTTATCTCACTAAGTCTAAAGGTACAGATACAGGTGACGGGGGATGGAGGCAGTAAACCACCTTGCCATGTATGTACCTATGCAACAATCCTGCATGATCTGCACATGTACCCCAGAACCTAAAGTACAATTTATATGTATATATATATTTATATATTTATATATAAATATATATATATATTTTTTATATATATCATAGAAAAAATAAAATTACAAAATTAAAATTCAGGTAGGTTAACAAGACAGTAGTAATGCTTAGATTTTATAAAAAGAGGAATGCTTTGAACTTTTATGACTAACTTGTGGAGAAAATATAGAAAAATTGCCTTGACCAATAAAAAATATCTCACTTCTTGTAACTTATCACTTTATTTGGCACTTTAATTACCATACAGTAGTTAAAATAGAGCAGAGTGAGTCAGCACAATTAACGTTTCTTAAAACAGTCATAGAAATACATCCAAGTGATGTCTCAGTTGTATTCCTTGACCACCAGGCTTATCAGGTTTTATCTGAAAGATGTCAGTCATTTTCTTTGTCCTAAGCACCGTAAGAGAAGGCACATTAAATGAGCTCTTAAGACCTCAATGAAGTCTCTCCTGTAGAAAATAAGTCTCTTTAAATACTTTTAGGTTGTAGATGCTTTCAAAGAGTGAATCGAGAAATGCTATGAAGATTCTAAGGGCTAAAGGATTGTGTTGTTAAAAAAGTGTACCATAGACAAATTTTGCATAATGCAGAGTATTAGAGTCTGTTTCTAAAATATTATACAGAGTATGGACAATCAAACTTAAAATAATACTTGAGTTGTAACATGCTGTTGACCTTTCCATTTATCTAACTTATATTACAATTAAAAATTGTTTCTTCCTTGATTTTAGCATTTACTCATTTATAGAAACCCATATTTTATCCACTGAATCTACATAATTTCCATAAGAAATATTAATTTGTCATGATGCTTATTATCAGTATGAAGATACTGATAAATAACCCTAAGTTGTATATATGTGCATGTGCTTATACACAGACATAAAATAATTATATGAAGAAGAGAGTCATTGCTAGTAACCATAATTTAGGTATACACATTAGATAGAAATATATAATACTTTTTTATGATCAACAAAAATTGCTGCAACTTTATCTGAAATAAAATTCTTAAATTTAATACATCTTTTCATAGATTGCTCAGTTTTTTAAGGCAGTATTAACAATGGGCACATTCCATAATGTTCATGATGATCATAGGAGTCTGAATGATCCATGACATTTCTGCTGTGTTCTCATCAACCAAATCTGTTACATCATCTCTCTAGAACTTAAAATCTGTCGACTCAGTCTTCTCATCGCAACCTTCATATCGTTGTTCCTTAAAGTATAGATGGCAGGATTTAAGACAGGGGTGACAACAAAGTTCACAATGGCAAAAAAAGTATCCAATGACTTAGTAGGAAAAGGCCACACATAGAGAAATATGCATGGAGCAAAAAACAAAACCACTACAGTGATGTGAGCTGACAAAGTGAAGAATGCTTTGGATAAATCTTTTGAAGAATATTGTCGGACAGTGACCAGAATAAAGATGTATGATACAATTAAGAAAAAGAAAGTGCCCATAGTTATGAATCCACTGTTGGCAGTGACCACAAATTCTAGTCTGTAAGTGTCCATGCATGCAAGTTTAATAACCCGAGGGAAATCACAATAAAAGCTCCCCACATGATTAGGACCACAGAAGGGTAAATTTATGATGAAAACAAACTGAGTCACAGCATGAATCACCCCAGTGATCCAAGCTGCTACTATTAAAAGCATGCACATTTTGGGATTCATAATAGTTAGATAGTGGAGAGGCTTGCAGATTGCAGTGTACCTATCATATGCCATGACTATCAGCAGCATCATTTCAACTCCTCCTGTAACATGGATAAAGAACATTTGTATCATACAGTTATGGAAGAAAATAACTTTAGAATCCGTAAAAAGATCATAGATCAACCTAGGAACTGTGGTGGATGAAAGGCCCAAGTCCATGAGTGATAGGTTGGCCAGCAGAATATACATGGGGGAGTGTAAGTGAGGATCAAAGATCACTATGAACACAATGAAGAGGTTTCCCAGGATAATTCCCACATAGAATAAAGAGAAGAAGAGAAAAAGGAAAAACTGCATTTCTAAGGATTGTGCAAATCCAAGTAATACAAATTCAGTTATCACAGAGTCATTTACTTGGTCCATTGAATCAGAAGGGAAGACTCTGAAGAGACCTGAAAGAAAAGAAGGAAAGAATCCACTTAGCCAAGATCATGCCACCGCATTCCATCCTAGGTGACAGAGCAAGACTCTGTCTCAAAAAAAAAAAAAAAAAAAAAGAATAAAAAGAATGCATAAAAACTCAACAAAGTCAGGCAAATTAAAAAAATGAAATTCCAAAAATGGCAAGAGTATATACAAATATGTAAAAACACATGAAATGGTTTAAAAAATAAACAGAATCTTTGAAAATGTGATCACTAATAACAAAAATTAGAAATGATAATATAAATGCAAAAACTTGACTTATAGTCAAGGCACCTCTGAAAGCTATTTCTTAAATGTGCCTAAAATGATCTACCCCAAACTATCACATGAATCATACTTGAATTGGAAATGCTGTAGAGACAAAAGGTTAATATCGTCATAATATAAAAAAGAATTTAAACAATTTCACAGAATCTCCAAGGCCTAATAGATAAATTGACAAATGAAAGCTATACATGTATTTGTATGTATAGATATCTGTATGTGTATCTTACAAATCAAAGAAATAAGATAAAATGTAATACTATTATTTTTCTGTTAAATTAGAAAAAAAAGTTACAATTTTTACTACGCAAACTGGCTAAGGCTCAGTGAAATTGGCATTTTTATACACTGCTGGAGGGACTATAGACTGATTCAAACCTTAAAGAAAACATTTTGAAATCATGTATCAAGAATTGTAAGTGCATGCAATAATGTTGGAATTCTGTTTTTACAGAAGTTTGCAGCATAAAAATATTCATCATACTTTTCACTAGTAGATTTTTTACAAGATCTACTGAAATCTTGAAACAATTTCAATACCAAACATTAGGTTTAAGTACAATGTATGTACATGATGGACTGTAATAACAGTTATTAAAATAAATATTAGTAGAAGCATTTATAATAACATTGGGAAAACTTTTCTTAAAAATACTAAGTGCAATAATGGTAAACAAATTGCATAGTACAACATTATAAAAGTAGTTGCTTTTGATTTTTAAAAGAGATTTAAAAAGCTCTCAAGCTCTCTCTCTAGATTTTGAAGTACCTTATGTTACACATAAATATTTTTTTGATAAAACATCAAATGGCATAGAAAGTTGAAGAAATAAATTATTAAAATTTTTGAAAACTAGCATTGACTCATAACAGGGCAACTAAAGAAATAAAGAATTCTAATGCTTCCCTTATCTAATCACTCATTTTTATAAATAACTCGAATTTTTTTCATAGATGTGATTCTCAAGGAGGCATAGTTAAGTAGGTGAAGGATCTTGATTAAATTTCTTGAACTACGTATAACGCTGTCATGAAATGGAAACTTCTTCAGACATTCCATCCAGGCAAGCATTGATAACGCATCTTGCCTGCTTGACTTTGATCAGGGCTGGCCATACCAATTGAATTCTGGTAATCATGAAATAGCTATAAGAAAAATTAATGCTCTGGTGCTCTCATCAAGTTTAGAGTGAGTGAGGTTAGTAATGATGAAGTGGGAAATATTAAGAGATACACAATAAATGGTCAAAGAAATAGAAGCAATATAGTGCAATGGGATATGAAGAGATAATATTTTGGGAAGAATACAGCAGATGGAGACAAATAGAGTTGATTTCTATTTCCACAATATGCACATTTTAACTTCTAAGTCCATTTCTACATGGCTTTCTGCCTTATCTCAACTAGATAGTCTCCGAAACACTCTTTCCAGCTTTTTCTGAATCAAATTCATATGGATGGTCCCTGGCTTGTGATACTTTGACTTATAACTGTTTGACTTTATGTTAGTGAGAAGGTGACATACATTCAGAAGAAACTGTACTTGAGCACAGTAATTAATCAATGTATTACATGAGCTTTTCAGTACTTTATTATAAAATAAGCTTTGCATTATGTGATTTTACTACAAGCTAATGAAAGTGTTCTGAGCACATTTAAGGTAGGCTAGGCAAAGCTATAATGTAAGGTAGATTAGGAATATTAAATGCATATTTGACTTATGATGGATTTATCAGGACATAATTCTATTATAAGTTAGCATCTGTACATTTTTAAACTATGTTTTACTATTTTCACTTCATTGATACTGCCATCCCTTGGCTTCTTACCCTTGTTTAGATCACCCAGATCACAGGTGCTTAAGCACAAAGAATTTTGGGAAAGGAGTTGAATCTGGGAAACTTTATAGAGTACATATGATGATCCCTGGGAGGTTTCATGGAAATGTTTTTCATGCTGCTGAGCAGAAGGTGTTTGGTAACTTACTAAGTTCAATGTCAATTCATGTCTTTATAAAGAAATAAAGTTGAAGCTGAAGAATGATGTTTACTGCTTAAGATCAAGTGTTTTATCCTGTTAAAACTAAGATACAGGATATAAACCAAGCAATCTATAAGTCTCATGAAAGTGGCATTTCACCTTATAAGAGAAATTAT